ACAATGAAGCGCTACGAAAGTGTAACCTACAGAAACTCTTAACATTTAACTCTGTGTCATCCCCACATATCTAAAATGTTTGACCTTAAAAATGTGCCATTAGTATCCGTGCAGTGATTGTAAAATGTATATAAACTGGATGTTTATTTGCGTGTCACACTGGTTCGATAATTGCCCGCAGATTCTTACGTGCGCCGTTTGACCTCTGGAGATTATTGTGATTTTCATTTTCACAGGCTTGTAAACTGGTTATGTGCTCCCACTATGACTTTCTTTGCTACCTCTAGAGCAGCCAAGTACATCAGAGAAGGAGACTTTTGCTTTCATGTGTCAGATGGAAAGGAAGCATGCGCAGAGTGTAATACAAACAGGTTTTTTTGATCCATCCATCAGAAAAGTCACACCTATTCTAGCAAAAAAAAAAAAAAAAATATATATATATATAAATATATATATATATATATATATATATATATATATATATATATAGATATATATATAGATAGATAGAGAGAGAGAGAGAGAGAGATAGAGAGATAGATAGATAGATAGATAGATAGATAGATAGATAGATAGATAGATAGATAGATAGATAGATAGATAGATAGATAGATAGATAGATTAGACAGACAGAGAAATAGAGAGATGAGACAGAAGAGCACATGCGAGTAATTGGTGACATTAAGTTAAACAAGGCAGTCAGCTTTATTACCGAGCCAAGCTGAGAAATTGTTCCTACGTTATATTTCTGTGCTCACGTGTTGCCGTTCTCTTTCATCCTCCTCTGTAATTTATCAGGCAGAAATGTGCATCTTTTCCCAAGCAAATACAGTCCCCATTTATTTCTGAGCAGACAAGTCCCTTCTATTTGTAGTTATTAATCAGAGTTGACTGTAGCGGGCACGGCCACTGGAGCTCAGACTGATAGACTCTCAGTCAGAGAGGAAAAGCCTGTCACATCCTGCTGACAAATACACAGATTTATGGAGCCCACATAGCCAGCCTACTCTCTATAAACAAATACGTTTGCCTGAAAAGAGCTGCTCTGGAAATGGATAGGCCCTGCAAAGGCACATTTTTAGACATGAGGGCACAGAGCTGCTATTAGTAGAGGGTTGGGTGTGAGTTTATAAGGGTATTACAGCTTCTGTGTTTCAGACAGCATGCAGCTTGACTAATTAACTGATCAAATGCAGCTCGTAATCCCCATCAGAGCTGGTTAAGTTAATCAGTTTCTTATACACAAAGCCAGTACAAGAGAAAACCACAACCAAGAGCTTGACCTTCCTATGAGAAGAAAAAGCTGTAGCTTTGTGCAAGTCCAGCTCTTAAATGATAGGGATTTGCAAATACTTTTGATTTGTTTAGCTTCAGTTTTTTTGAGGGATTTTCATGACAGTTGGCTGTTTTGTTTTAGTATTACTGTTATTATTATTATTATTATTATTGCAAGAGAGAAGTTGGTGCAGCCACTGACCTCTTTCTGTCAGCACCAGGCTGAGATTAGCTGTACGAGTGTCTCTTGTTTCCCAGTGGAGTCCGGCCCCAGTCCATCACAGTTCCAGCTCCGGTCTATGCCAGCAGGGCGGGGGGAACAGAGCGAGGAGTGGAGGAGTGGGAATGAGGGAACGGAGCGAGGAGTGGAGGAGTGGGAATGAAAAGGGTTGAAGTCATAGAAAACTTTGGCCGTGATTGCAGTAATCCTGTTATCTCTCCTGCTAAAGCTGGCCACTTTAGTGACCTGGAGACACAAATGTTAAGCTCCCTCTGTCTCTCCTGCTCTTTTCACTCCATCTTCGCTCCATCCTGCTCTCTTTAGCCAGGCTCGTTGAATGCCGGGGTGGTCTTGGCTCTGTTGGACTCTGAATTCACAGTCTTCACACACACCAAGAGCTTTTTTTTTTTTCTTTTCTTTTTTTTAATTCTCTCAGAACAAAAGGGAGCTTCTCTCTTGAATTTCTCCCTCGTCCCATGCATCCTAATGCGTCTGTTGCTCCAAGTGGTTATAGTTGAAGAGAATGTGAACGCACTCAGAATCAGCTCCAAGGTGATTAATGTGTGATTTGATAAGCATATTCGAAAGCTTGCATTGTTTTTGCTCAGAAGGAGTAAATAGCGCGGTCAAATTTAGCTTCTCATCTATTAGCCGGTTCACACTGCCATTTGTTATCAGGATAATGGGGCGTAAAGAGGGCTATTAGTCCACAACATATGTTGAAATCCTGTACAGATACACACACACTCACAGGCCTCTAATACACAAAAGCAGCATGCAGTTAGGACTGGTGCTGATTGTTTGGTACCCATTTTAAAAATCCTGTATGAAAACGAAGCCATCTTCTCCAGGCTACGTGGTGTAAAAATAAACTAACATACAAATGCCAACAAACCTAATGAGCGTTTTTGTGCCTTTAAAAAAAAAAAATCTGAGCTTACACTTGAGTAACATTTTAATCCTGTACATGAATCCAAATTTTATTCAGATGGACTTTTCACCAAAAACATGTAAGGGTTGCACAATATATTATCATTTTATTAGTTTGTGTTATTGCTGTTGGAAAGCAGTATTTGTTCGACGTTATTTCCATGTTATGAATATTGCAGTGCCAATAATATATTCAGCCCGTTGGATGAAGACTCACACACCTGACACAATCAATCCAATTTCCAAGCAACCTGCAGCCTTACTCTTAATTATTTATTCACTGAAGTTGACTTTCTTCTTTAGTACCTTTTTCCTCCTGATATGATTATATAAAGTGCAAGTTCTCAGTGGGTTGAGAATAGAGGAATGAATTAACCCACAGCTAAGTGGGAGGCCACACCTGAAAGGCGGAGGAGGTGCGTCACGCCGTGCTCTGTGTTATTGCAGAGTCACGTTTTGATTGTAATTCCTGCATGTCAGCGTTTAACCTGACAAACTGTTCCAATTTGGACTTCGTATTCGTTGCTGGGGTGAGATGTTGATAATAAGATAATTGGCATTCTGCGCTCTTTGTCCTGCAAGCAGACCTATAGATCGGTGCCTATAGGTCAAAACCCGATCAAAGCCCTGCAGCTAATCTGCAGTGCTAATCTTCCCCCACCAACAAATAATCATGCTTAAGAACTGTTTAAATGAACCTCTTTGGAAGCCTGCATAATGTGCCTTTTGTATGTTGAAGAGACATAATAGCAGGGGGCTTTTCAGTGGAGAAAGCACTGCCCTCCGTTATTAACTCATTAGACCTCAATGCTTTCAGTCAGAGCCAATGTCTGACCTCCCCTCTCTGTGAGAATGAGCTCTGCAGCATCACAAAGGCAGCACATTCCGGCTAAATAATCGTACATTAAAATTTAAAGCAAATAATTAGGATGACTCAAAGTGTACGCGCGTGCAGAAAGATAAGACATAAACTAACAATGCGTTGAGTAAACACGAACGCTCGGCTCCCCTGCTGAACCCGGAGTTGCTCATTTAGTGAAGGACTTTTGAGTTTAGCAGGTAGAGATTCCAACTGGATAATTAACAGATTCCTTCCCGTTATAATTGGAATCAGTCTGGCTTATTCCTGAGGAAAGGGGCAGAAAATTGAATCAGTGTTGTGAGCACAGAAATTACAGCCATTCTCCCCCTTAATTAGATGTCTTTGCTGAAATCACAACCATGGGCAACCATTCTGGCATGTCGCACTCAACATATGGCCACCGTCTATGCGCGCGTCTCTCGTTCGGTGCCGTCGTCTTTTAGATATGTCTTCTGTGAGACTCTGAGGCTCATTTTGGCTGGTTTCCCTCCTGCTGCCATCTTGTTCGCCAATCAGACAAATTCAAATAACACATCTTCTTTGGAAAAAATGCTCACATTGCTAATTTCAGAGGACTTTTTTCATTTTTATTGCCGTTTTAATCAAAGTTATTTCAATGTCTAGAAATAACGAGGGATTCATGGAACCTGTTTTAAGTTTGAAGAAACAGGGGGAAAAGAAAAACTGGTATTCTGAAAATCTTAGTATTTTCAGACTTTATTCCTCTTACCACAGTCTAAAAGATCAATTTACCCTTACAGTGTTATCACTGTAAAAATGCAGTCAATTTATGGTGATTCTGTGAATTTATGCAAAACTAAACAAAATGGACTGAGAGCTGAAAGTCTTATAAACCTGATAGTTTACAAGACTAGATTTTCAGCGCACATATTTTCATTTATACAAAAGAAGATATGTACAATCCTAATTTAATAAGTAGTACCACAGCATATGTAAAAACAACAAAAAAAATACATTTGTTTTAGGGATTCACACAGCACCCAGCTAAAATTGAATAAAATTAAATCTGAGGAAGATGTTGCGGATATTATCATGTCATTCCAGATGGTCATTTGGATGGCGACAAATGGTCCACTGAGCAAGTCCCACTGAGATTAAAATATTAAGCATGCATCTACAAATCTCTCCTGGCACAAAAACAAAAATGAAATTAAGGAGTTTCACCATGCGAGAACAATGAGCAGTTGACTAATGGCTCGATCACTTACTTAATCACAGCCCAGGTAGTCGGCCGGCCGGCCGGGGTTTGCATGCAAACGCTGTAGCCGGAAGCCGGCCGTGCAAACTCGGCTTAAGCCTTGTGGGGGGACACAAAAGCTCAGCGGAGACACGCTGGTCCAATCTTTGAGGCTGCATACAGGAACACAATATCCCGATCCTAAGATGTTCCACACCCCTGCCTCAAGCTCATGCTGTGTGTGTCAGGCTCTGTGTGTATCTGTATGAATCCCAAGTTTTCAATAGGCTTGATGCAATGTCCTTTTTATCTCTGCCAGCGTGTGAGTGGATAAACTCTTCTTTCCAACAGAAAGGTTCTGCATGCGAGTGGGAAACAAAGTGCGAGCTGTTATGAGTTATAGATTGTCTCACACATTTCCACTGCACCTGCATGATGCTGACGGCGACCGTTGCTCCACAACCCTCCCCCTCCGGCCCCCTCTCATCAGCTCTAATGTCTCTCTCTCCCGTCAGGAGGTGATGCAGATGGAGAGGCAGCTCGGGGGTCGGCTGATTGACGAGCCTCACGTCCTGCTTTTCAAAGACAGCTACCACAACCTGCGCCTTTCCATCCACGACATGCCCCAGGCGCACTGGAGGAGCAAGCTGCTAGCCGGCTATCAGGTGTGTTGGGCGGAGGGTCGCTCTGGGTCAGTGTGACGGGGAACAGGAAATGTAATTCTAGTGCCTGACTAAATCTGTCAAATTAGTGAATCAGCTTTTGGAGCAGGGGTGTCAAACTTTTTCTTAATGGGCCATAACAAGAGCGTGATTGTGCTCATTGCCAGGATGCATTGAAACCCAAACTGTTCAAATGTTAGTAGATATCTGTCTCTGCATAGTTGAAATTAAACAATGTTGAATTTTACAAAATTTGTGTTTTTGTATAAATGCATTGTTACTCGCATGAAATAAGTAAAAGTAAGAAATACTGCCACCTGCAGTTGGGAGTTAGTAGTGACTTAAATTTGGAACAATGTCCGAGTTATGCATTACCGTAAAACAATGCTGGGATCTGTTGATTTTGCGTACATTTTTATACAATCCTGGAGTCGCGAAAAACTCCACGATTTATGTGACTTGGAGTCTTGAGTCCATAGACGGCCACATTCAAACTACTGGAGGCCAGATTTAGCCCCCAAGCCGTGAGTTTGACACGTGTTCTAGAAGATTTCTTTACTTAGATTACTTCATTAATCTGTTAGATTACTTCATTATTTAGAAGCAACTTGTTATCACTAATTAATTTTAATGGTCTGTTATTCTCTGTGGAAATATGTTTTTATTTTAGCTCAGATTTTTAATTAGACATGTTCTAGACCAACTTGTATTCAACATCCACGCAAAGCAAGGGGCTTTTTTTTGTGTCTATTTCTTCCTAAACCTTTCCAAGTAATTCAGTAATTTATTGTATTATTTTGTGTGCATGTTTTAGCAGTGTGCATATGTGGGCCGTGTGTGTGCGCTCGAACCCAAAGGTGCAATCTTATTGATTAAACTAGCTGCTGCTCTCAAAGGGAGCTCGGATGAAATATGGAGCAGAATGTAAATAGTTTGCAGGTTGAATTTTTTTTTTTTTTTGGAAGCCCTCTCTCCTCCTCCACTGCTCTCTTTACCTGCACAGCCAGCAACCTTGCAGTCCTGCGACGACAACACAAGGGCTATTCAAAGGGGTTGGGTGGGGGGGGAGCTAGAAAATGTTCTGGCTGTAACTATGTAAGCACTGAGCACCGGGTCCCCAAAGAGCGCGCAGGCTGTGCCAAGCAAGCAGGGGCTGCAACAATGCACCCAGAGCAGAGGCTTATTTCTCTGGACTGCGCCTGTTCATTTGGAAGTGTTGTTCCCCGCTCAGCAGCACAGTCAGAAAGACCTTTGCTCTCCCTGGAGCCGCTTGACGACGTTTGCGTGCTTCACCCACCGCCCTCCGATGGTCCGACTGGGTAACAGTGCCCCCATTTGGTCGGCGCCGTGCACTGCAGGCCCACTTGACTCTCCAAGTGAGGTCTTGTTAGCAGTTGAACTCAGAGGAAAGTGGGAAGGGTTTTTTTTTTTTCTAAAGCTTTCTCTTTTCCAGCATTACTACCCTGCTTCTCCTGGGTTATGCAAATGAGGCATGAATATGGAGCAACAGAAATAAAAATGTTGAAATTGTCAGTCATGATAAATTCAGTGAAACACTGTACCGTAGCTCTATCAGAGCAGATACACTCCAAGCCGTTATGCATGCATGTGTATGTATCTGTGCCCCTTGGCATATTTCATGTTTAGCATCATTTACAGCTCTGTAGTTGCAGGAAAAGAAAAATGCATACAAATGGATAAAGAGGAAACCATGACCCAGATATAGCATTTAAGCTCCGCATTTGACACTTTCTGTAATCCTCAGCCAGTCGTCTTTCAACTGCTGCTCAAGATCCTATTTGTCAGCAACTGCAAATTTATTCCCTTTCACTTCTGTAGCCATTTTTACCTAATGATCGCAGTTTATGTCAGCGTAATTAATGATAATCTCAGCGTATTACAGGTAGGCGGCCCTGTTTCAGACACGCGGCCCTGACTGTGCCGCTGCGATGTTTGTTCGGCAGGAGATCCCGTTCTACCACATCTGGAATGGTTCCCAGCGGTACCTGCACTGCACGTTCACTCTGGAGCGGCTCAGCCTCAGCACCTGCGAGCTCACCTGCCAGCTGTGCGTGTGGCAGGTGGAGGGGGAGGGGCAGAGCTTTGCCCTCGACTTTAACATTGCCAAGGTAACAGCCAGAGCACGCAACCGCTGCGATCCAGCGTTCCCATTACTCACACACAGGTTGTTTTCCGTGCTGAGCATAGAAAGGTGTGTATTTTGTTTCTTTTGGTCGCTCTTACCAGGACACGCGAGGTCTGGACTCTGAGTTCCTCTTAATGGACAGTAATGCGACGGCTCTGGCCGGGCCCAGCGCCTTTCAGATCCCTTATCTCATCAGACAGAAGATCTGTGGCAGCCTGGATGCGCCCTGTCCCAACGGAGCAGACTGGAGGATGCTAGCACAAAGACTTAAACTTGAAAGGTAAATGCAAACTTTGGAATAATCTAAAACGTGATCTGATCACCGGTCTGAGCATCAGTGAGCGGGCAGAGAGTAATCTAAGGCTATATTTAAAGATATGCAGATATGTGAAGACAAGCAGGCTTCTTCTGTGGAATTGTTCAACATCAGTGTATGAAGAAGTAACCTTTGAAAGTATTCATGGCTTTAAAATTCAAACTGTTCTCATAATGAAACATGGCTGGGGCGGTTTCATGGTTTGGGGATGCTTTTCTTCATGAGTATTTGTGCCAAAATGTGAAAATCCGTCCAGAGTTGCAATGAAGGGTATTTCTCAATTCATAACTCGGAAAGGCTGCAGAATCAAACGAGTGCCATGCTTTTAGAAGCAAAAAAATATTGTGAAACCAACTTTCCTTTTTCATTTTAAGTCACAATAATGCACTCAGTTGTACATAAAATCCAGAAAAATATTGTGATATTTTTATGCGACACAAAAACCCCAGCACTGCTTTTAGAAAACAGAACTGGAGTTTCGCTATATTTGTAAAACTCTTAACCATCAATGAACGTGAAGTGCATCCATGTTCGCTCTAAAGTTCAGGTAAACAAGGTAATGCCTTAGCAAACTAATCCTCTTTCGACTCAGCTAACATTATGGGATTAATGCGGACTTGATGGATACAGCTATCATTCCTCCAAGAAAACATGACCCCTGTCTTCCCTTTTCCCTCAGAAACAGGTAAGCAGCTTAAAGTCTGCTGCTAAACTTCTGGCTGCGACATCCTGCTTAACAGCTGTAATTGGAAAGGCTGCAAGCTAGCTGCCCATCAGCGACCGAAAAGAAAAAAAGAGAGATGGAATAGTTTTGGATCTGTGCCGACCTCGGTCCAATTTGTTCCCCCGGTTACTGTACTTTATCACCCAAGCATCTGTAACAGAGTGAGGCCAGACATTGATCCCCTACCCGCCAATTTAATTTCTACTTCGTAATGAAATCAAATAGGAGCACCTAATTTGTCCAATCAACTTTATTTACCCCAATTAATTCCAGCCTGGAATTGATGCGCTGCAGGTTTAATTAGCGACGTTCGGCTCAACATAATCAATTCTCATTTAGGTCTAAGGAAGGAACAACTTCTTTGTTGTTTGATCTGTCCTTAACAACATGTTTTCCTGAAAAGGCAGCAGCTGCTTGGCATTCTGTCACGCTGCATTTCTGTGTTTGTCTCTGACTGCGTAAAGCGTTCAGACCAAGCGGAACAGGACCGATCAATAAAACTTAAAATGCCAAGAACCTTTTATTTGATCTTTCTCTCCCAAGACTGAGCTAACGTCTGTGTCTGAGCTGCACAAGATAAGCCGGGGTTTCGCACAGCGAGGTGAATAAGCGTGGCTGACGCGTTGGACGCCAGGCCGTCTTTTCTTTTTTATTATTTCTCTTCTTTTTAAATCTGGTTAATGACACAGAAGCTCATCTCCAGATATTTTTTGACCAACACTTGTCTGTGTTGTTTTCAGGCAGTCGCTTGCGCTATAAAATCCAGCTGGCTCGAAACGACACAGTGTTGTCGGCACTGCGTGTACAGCCAAAGCAGTCACATGTTGGTAGCCGTCAACGAAATGCTCCAGCAGGCAGACGCGAGGAAACAACAGGCTCTCTGGCTTTTCTAAAACACATCTCAATGTCTGTCTCTTCCCTTACAAAAAAAAAAACACTCCAGAGTTTGTGCTGCTCTTTTAACGTCATACCTGGAGACCGTGGACATTTGGAGAACAGAAAAAGGCTTTTAAATCAAACGAGCATCTTCGGTTACTGCGGGAGATCAGGTCCCGCGCGACATCAAAACTGCAGCCGGCCGGGAGCCACCGCTTTGTTGTCATTGATTGGGTTTGATCGAGGAAGGTGCCGCGCCTACGATGGAAAAGGTCACATCCGACTTAACTGTCAAAAGTTCATATAGGATTTGCTGTATGAGATTTGGGGCCAATTGTAGCATCAACTAAAAAGCGATGAAAGCTCCGCAGTTAGCACAGGTGGACAAAACCACGATTGTTAAAAGTTGTTTACAAAAAAAAGTCTTTAAACTAGTTCTTTTTTCATGGAGGAGTAGCAACATGAAACTCAAAACGTAAGGGAGAAAGCGATCTTTGGTTTACATTTATTCAGTCAAGAAGAAAAATCCTAACTTGGGTGACACCATTGTTGATACTCTCACTGCTAAATCTCTGCAGAACCCTCTTCTGCCGGTTTTATCCTAATGTGACTTCTCAGACTAGAAGTACAATCTCTCTCTCTCATTTGGAGCCTGAGGTTCGCTCCTTTATTCAACTCACATCACAGGATTTATTAGGCCTGTGGACTGAAATGAAAGAAGGCTGATTTTATGTCTGATGTCTAGTAGTGTGTTGATCGGCTTTTATAGTTTGGATCAGTCTCAAAGCCGAAAGACCCGATGGCCCACAAGAATTTTATTTAAAAGCACATAGAGACATTTTATAGCAGAATCAAGTAACTATTTTACCTTTTGCTGTTATGAAAATGTATATATCAAATCACCACCTTACTAAAATATTGGCCTGAGTCGTCTTAATGACTTAAACCATTATTTTGGGAAGGTGACAAAATATTCACAATTGGCCTGTGTGTCTTTAAAAAGCTTCTGTTCTTTCCGACAATGCTTTTCCATTATGGTGTTTATTCCCGTGTTTAGGAGCGTTGGGTTGAGATGTAGTTTGTGCGATTAGCTCAGCAGGTGTGCCGTTCCACCAGGTGTTTTCCAACTGCTGCTGCCACTAGTCTGTTGGAGCCGTGTGGGCAGCGGAGGAAACTCAATGAAGGGACTCAAGCTCCAAAGAGGAGTAAATGGCTGCCACATTATCTAAAGCTAGGAAAAAGTCAATTTGACACGGTACTCCTTATTTAAGGTTTTCATTCCAGAGATTCCACGATGCCACGCACTCTAACAAGGTGGAGCAGAAACACCCTGATGAAATCAAACAGTATCACATCACGGAGGATTTCCATTAAACACAAAGAATTTACTACTTCATTTGTAGCCATGTGTTAATGATTTAAAACTGACAGCTAAAGATAACAAAATATGAACTGAGGATATTTATTCCACATCCATCCTTAGCACTCCCTCTCCAAAACTCCACCCAAAAGTTCTTGCCTGCCCTGATGATTTATTTTTTGTGTGTAAATGTAGCATAGAAGCAGGGAGGAAATAAATGGGCCTGGAAAACTACTACGTGGAAAAGGTTTCTGCTTTGATCCCATGTGATGAAAGCACTTAAAGTCGCTTAAGTGATTAGGTAACTCCCGGGGCGTGTTTGCTATGGTAGGACAGAAAATTGGCTTTGTAGTTTAATTAGCATTCTCTGTGTTTGTAGTTTATATCTGTGAAAGATGCAACATGACTGAAAAGTACTTGGATTTCTATGAAGAGGTTTGTTGAATCTGCTTTAATTACATTTATTTTAAAAGAGGGCGAGGAGGACCAAAAATTGTGCCGATGGGGATTCTATTTAAAACAATAACAATAATTTTGTGCTGACTGAATAAATGCACTCAAAGAAAAGGTTGGGCTTTTCAAAACCGTTTCCGTTTGAGATCCAGCATTGAAGGCCAACACATTGCTCCACATTTGCCATTTTGGATTTTGGTTTGAGCTTCAAGAGGAAGAACTGGTTGGGATATAGTGCTGCGATGCAGAACAAAAGCTGACATTGACAGAGCTACAAAAACCGCAGCAGCGCCACAAAATATCAGCTGAAAAGGGTTTTTTTCTCTCTCTCTCTCTACGATTTCTCTAAAGGAGAGAAAATGCAAAACTGCCTTTTCTGATCTCTCATTATCTTCTGCCTCTGGTCTCCTTTGCTCCGCAGACACATGAGTTTCTTTGCATCCAAAGCGAGCCCGACCTCTGTGATCCTGGACCTGTGGGAGGCGCAGCACTTCCACAGCGGCAACATCAACCAGCTGGCTACCGTCATGGCTGACATCGGCAAACAGGAGGCCATGATTTTCCTCGTCTCTGACGGCGAATGCTAACCCAGAAACGGAGAGAGAAGAGAGGGAGGAAGAGGGAGAGAGACTGGTGCAGAACATGCAGACGTAACACAAAGAGCAGCAGGACACAAAGCGCAGCGCTGTCCCAGTGTGTCTCTTCTTTATTTTTAGGAAATAGTGAAAAGTTTATCTAGGATTGTGTCCTTTTACTCACACCCCAAACAGTAAGGAACATCTTCAAACCACGGATTTCATTAGGGTGAAGGCCGAGTCGTGCGTTTCCGTCAGAAAGTTTGACGATATTTTAAACATAATATCACTTTCACTTTTTGTTCAGCGAGCTAAGAAGGAGCGATATGCAAATGCAAGATTCTAACTTACAGCTGATGTTGCAAATTCCTCTCGATCTTTCATGAACTTGGTTTGGAAAAACCTGCTTTACACCCGGAATAACAAGGAGGCCTGTCAGTCAGTTCAGGTGAAATATGCAATTGGCAGGTGACCGTGACATTATCTCAGACACGTGTAAACGACCACGACGGTGCGCAGCACCGCCTGCACGTTGCAGGTTTAAAAGCAGATTGTATGCCCCGGAAGTCGCGTCTCATCACGGTCTGTTCTTTTCCTCCTTTTTTTTTTTTTTTTTGTTAGTCCAGCCGGTATCACTACTGTGAATGTAACATCTTGACATCTTGATTCAGCGAGACGCTTCGCAGCTTTTTCTGCTTCGAAATCAATACGTGTGTGTGGTTGGAACCTTTCTTCTTTAGGAGAGGAGTCGGTTGTAGAGCATCTCCACTCCGAGAATGAAATCCTTTGATTTTGTTTCATCTTGTGCAGTATATTACGCCGATCATTCATCATGTGAAGTTTTTTTTTTTTCTTTTGCGGGGTGAGGGGTTTGTGCGTTTTAGATTTCTTAGCTAATGAAGGAGCCATAGCGCTAAAAGGCGTTCTCGCTGCATTCATGCGAACAGCGAATGTCGTCAAAAGTGACTCTTTTTTTTTCACCTCCTTGATTACGTTCATTCTCCAGCACGCGAACATGGCTAAAAAAAAGGTTTATTAAGCTACATGAATAATGTAGCGCACTTTGCCACAGAAAACCTGAAAACAAATTCTTCAAAACTGTCGCAAGATTAGTCACGTCGAAAGGATAATTGTGCAGCTTTGTTTATGTTATTTATAAAGCAATTTTAGTGGGAATTCAATATTTGCCGCGTGGCAAACAGTATTTCCACATCAGAGATGAGCCGTCTCAGTCATAAACGGCTCATTCACGCAGTCTTTTTGTTTGTCCAAAGCAAGGCTGGAAAGTGTGTTTTCTCTCTCTTTTTAAAAAAAAAAAATAATAATTTAGCATTAATTTCTACAGTAATTTCTTAGTAATGGATGTGTCTAGTCAGGCAACATAAACAGGTTCAGCAGTGCACTTCACAGACGGTGTGAGCAATCCCAAACTAGCCATAGTTCTGTCTGCCTCAGGGTTGCATGTGAAGCCGTCTGTTCAAAGCTGGAAGGAAAAGGCCCTTTCTCCGTCCCACCATCCATGTCTCGACCTTTAGACGTCCATGGATTCCTTTACGATTGTCAGATATCTGGAATGTACCTTTACGTTTTTCTTTTCAGTGGTGGAAAAGCACCTGTTTTTTTTTTTTTTTGTCACTGGGTTTAAAGCTTATGTTTCCCATGGCAACTCAGATGTTTCCTCCCCTTTATAAACACTTTCAACCCCTTTTTATATGAAGATGCCATAAAAATCCAATGTTACCTTTTTAAAAACCCTTGGATTATTCCTTCAAAGAGAGAGAGAGAGAGAAAAAAAAACAGATGATTACGCCCAATCATCGCCACATTGTAATATGTAAATAGTTTTTCTATACCAGCCATGTGCTGTCACTTTGCATACTGTATATCAGCAGCGTTGGTAACCAAAGTTTTAGGAATATCATTTGAGTTCACCACATCCTCACATTGTATCCATCAGAACCGTTTTGACACCGTTTGTACTTGCAGAGTCAGTCAGTTGCCATCATTTACGTTTTTTGCTTTTCCTTCTGAAAGTCGACGCATAATTTGATCACTTTGTAAACAAATGTAAATTATATTTTAATATGAAGCCAAAAAAAAAACAAACAAACAAGAAAAGAAGAAGAATGCAACACTTAACTGGCGCAACATTTGTCGAGTCTAAACCGTGACGTGTTTGCCTATATCCTGTTCTTTGGCGATCTAGCAGTGATTTGCAGTGTTAAGGGTTTAGAGGCCGTTTTCGCGGGAACTTTCTGTTCGCTCTCATCCTGGGTCATTTATTTCCACCACTCGGAAAGCATTTAAACACAAAGGTGGAAGCAGTCGCCAACGCTCGGTGAGTCAGAGAGGCTAATCGCCGGAGGACATCAGTCCTCGGACACTGTTGACGCAGCATGTTCGGGGGATGAGCCACGGCAGTTGTACAGTCAGACTGTGGCTCGGGAAGTTTTAGCACCCTTGTCATCGTCTTGGATGTGTCGCCTAAGCACATTTTCAGTAACAGCATCTATCTTCACATCTGAGTCACGCAGCACATCTGCGGTTACTGTGTGATGAACACCGGCTCTGTGGAAGACTCGTGTCTGTAACACAAATGCTTTTGTTGGAGGGTTTGTGCTGTCAGTTCACCCTGTGATGCATCTCAGCACTGTATTCTTTGTCACTCATTACTATTCGGTGTGGAGGACGTGCACATATTTAAGAATGTGTGTGTGTTGTGTATGTAGGGTGTGTGTGTGTGTGTGTGCAGACCTCCCTGTCACTGACTGAACTGTTTTCTTTTTTGAACTAAGAACAATAGACTTCTGTACTTGTGAATGGTTTTCTATTTAGTTCCTTGGTTCAATGTCCCTTGCCTTTCTGCAAGTCAAAAATGCTGTATTTATTACATGCCACAGCGCTTATGCAATTGTATAATCCTTCTATTGTTTTCTTTGTTTGGAGTTTTTCTTTTTGTTTTTTTGGGGGAAAAAACAAACAAACAACCTTTTGTGTTCCTTATCGTCGATGTAAACTGTTGTCAAAACTTTTGTGGCAGTGGAAAAACTTCTGCTAAGGGAGATGTTCTGTACTTTTGGACAATGTTATGGATTTGTGGGTAGAATTTTGGAAATTCGTTTCTAAGTGCTTTCAAGTATTTACTTGGCCTTATGTATATATATCTATCTATGACATTTCAAAAACCTATGTATAGTAATTCAATCGGAAATTGTTGTAAATAAATTATATATTGTTACATTAAGGACTGGATTATTTACATTAAAATGGATAATGAAAGAAGGATAATGTGTTCAGGTCCTCTTAAAACAACCATCGAGACTTTCATTATGTTATTTTTTGCTTAATTCCTCTGTGTGATCCAATTCCAGCAAAAAAATGCTTAGTCCCAGTTAAAACAGAAACAGTCGGACACATCAAATCCACCATGTTCACCCACATCAGCAATTTCTGCAAACATAGCAGCAGTTTCTACTTGCAAAAAATGAAATGATGTTATTCATAGGCAGTCAACAAACTCATCCAAGATTTTTTAAAGGATATTTCATTCATTTTAACTTCTTAACTTTGCTATCATATCTAAAACAACAACAGGGTGAACAGAAAATGGATGGATGGATCTAAAACAATAGTTTGGTGCAGAAGCTGTAAAACTGAGAAGTCGGTGCAAAGCAAACGATGCAAAGCTCACATCGTCGACTGATGGACTTCATTCTGGCGTCACGCAAGAAGGCAGCCAGTCACAATAAAGGAGACGTCTGTAACTGAGAAGGAAATGACATCTTTTACTTTTCAACAAGCCTCCAACATAAACCGTGTTACAGTATATTTTGGAAGGGGGGGGGGGGGATTTTTGCTTTCGAGTAAAGAATACTTGTGCAACAAATGTGCAAGGTCAGCACAAAATTTCCACTTCAGAACAGACTGTCTCCACCACGGCAATCCAGAGTTTAAACTCGGTTCATATTGCAGAGATGTTGCGCGGTTCCATGACTTAGTGATTCCATTTGTTATTTTGGATGTTTCAGATATTCGTCGTTTAGAAAATCTCTCGGTTGGTTTCAAGGAACCAACTTCAGAGGGCCCTCAGCATTTCCTGTCTTCCACATTTTATACTTTTCCATTCTATGATCATTTATTTTGCACAATAAAAGCCAGAGAACATGGTTAATAATCTAGCAGGAGGTTGCTCACATTCATAATCTCTGTAGTTCTTATCCTAACAGGGATCAGAGCTATATTCAAGGTTAATATGGTGCAACGTTTTTTAGAATGTAATTCAGTATTATTATCTTCAATACTCATCAAAATACCAAACAGAGAAATAAACTAACTCACAAGAGAACAATAAATGCATTCAAAATAGTTTGCATGAAATGGAAGCAGGCAGAGATGATTTGGTGAAAAAATAAACCCAAAGCCTTTCGAAGACAAAAGCTGCAAGATATTTGGAAAATATTTTAAGCTGAATAAATACTAAATACTGAAGCAACCCACTGTTAGAGATTTCGAGATAATTACCCATCAAGGCCATGTGACAAAGAAACAAATGTCTGAACAAAACCATGTTTTTTTAACTCATCAAAACCTACTAAAAGTTTGGCTTTAACACTTTAATGAAGACAGAACAAAAAGAAGCACTTCAGTCTTTTCTGTGGTTAAGTAAGTAGTTTTATTTGAAAATGTGAGCTATAAACACAAACAGCTCAGATCTGAAGCAGTTTAAATACATGGTACGGAGCTACAGCAATAAAGTGTCATAATATTATGTCACAATGGAAAATTAGAGTTTGATTCCCTTTTTGGCTTGGAAATGTGAAAAGGGGAATTTCTTTACATCATGGAGGATTTCCATTAAACGCATCTGTGATATTTTAAAATGTGACCAATTAAGGATTTCACCATCAGACGTTTTCATCTATGGGCTCCGACTTGTCAGCACTGAGGTGGAACCGGCACCACTCCGTGCTTCTCGAGGAGGAGGAGGGGCTGGTGGGTCGGTCCAATCAGGCAGAAAGTAGCGGCCCCCCCTTTGCTGCCTGACTGCTTCCCATCACATTAAAGGGCGCTGCAGGTGTGTGATTACTACAGGCTCACTGACTCCTTTAGACCACCGATGTCACTTCTGACTGAGGATGAATCTCGATAAAAAACGAGCGACTTTTTTCATTTTTAGATAAAATTCAAGTAGCCACAGAGTTGAAATAATTCCCTGCTTACTTCCTGTTTTGCAGGGCAGCTTTTGTCTTTGCGGGCAGCGAGGTGGACTGCATTTGAAGCTAACGTTGAGCTCGGCGTATAAAATCAAAGTCTGCGGGATAGAAAAGAAGCTTGCGCTCAACTCTGTGTGTGGCTGGCAAAGACAGGATGTGGAGTTTGTCGGAGGGCGGGGAGGGATAAAGGGGAGGTGGTGGGAGATGTGTTGCTTCCTCTGAAGGTGTAGCCGGCTCTCTTACACCGGAGCAAAAGCGTGGCCTTTGCACAGGGGCTTATCCTTTTTCGAGTAGAACGTCTTCCCCTCCAGGTTGATTTGGCAGAGCTTTACAGATGAAAGAAGACAGACAGAGAGACGGATTGAGAAACAGGGCAGGGGAGACAAACTTCACCAATGCACAGTTTTCAAAAGGGCAAAGATTGTGGATGTTATTTACTCGACTCGGGAGTTTTCCTCACAGAAAGGAGCGGGAGACGGAGATCGCGAGACAGACAGCAGGTGACGAGTTAAAGGGCAGAAACCGAGGGAAGAGGCAGATTGTTCAGGTGCGGTTGGACGGGGACAGACGGGAGACGTGGGCCGAAGAGAGAACCCGAATCGATCAAAATGACTTACAGCGCAGACGAAGCACGTGTCATGCCAGCTGTAGCCCAAGGCCTCCAGAAAGCGATCGCCGGCATCAATCTTGAAGTCACAGCCGTGGCATTTGGTACCGAACATCTTTTCGTAGTCTGGAGAGAACAAAAAAAAAAACATGAAAGAATGAGAGAGGAAAAAAAATGAAGTGTTCTCATCTATGAGATTAGGTCAGGACATCTCCATGACCTCCTCTCTTACATCACTTCACCGTAAGGGGGAGTTCAGAAACACAGATTGTAAAAGCCTTTATGTTTAATAAAACCGGGGGTCTCGGCTGTTTACGATGATATCGCCCATCGAACAGCCACTTAAAGGAATTGAACAGCGGCGGGAACAACGCTCTGATGCCAGGCGCCGGCTCCTCTCCTCATTGGCTGCTGGACGACGTGGAATTTTGTGGCATTTTGTGCAGCACTCGGGGTTTTTTGTGCACAGTTTAAAGAAGGATTAGTATGTGGATGGAGGGAGGTGGAAGTATTACTCTGGATACTTGACCGGTTTTTGTCGGTCTCTTTCATCACAAGGACTCTGGGGGAAGTGTCGGGTTATAATGCTGCTTCTCAGGAATGAGTGGCTGAGAGCTGCTCAATCCCTGCAAGATGCTGAGGCAGCAGAATGTTTATCAGAACTAAAGGCGTTATTCAGAATATGAGCACTTGGCTTTCTGGCTTCTGCTCTGATAAAGCAGTCGCGCGACGTCGGGAGCGTCAGCGGTGAGCAAGGACCCCGCCGCCCCGCTAAATCATTTATGGCATAATGAAAGCGTACACACCATTCATAAAAGCCAACAGAGGAATGCATGGTAAACTGGAGCTAAACAGATTACGGCAGATAAAAACATCACATTTTATGATTGACTGCTGTGCGCCGCCTAATTCACGACACAAAAGCTCGGAGCGTTTTACAAAACGCTCTGACAAATGGCCTGATAAGGGGAGGGGAAGAAAAAACATCTTCGAGAAGAAATCGGAGGAAGGAAGGGACGGGATGCGCCGCAGTGAGTTTCTGTTACAAAGGAGGCAGTTTTTAAGAAAAACAAACAGAGACAAAGTCCTTTGTTCCACCCAGTGGCTGCGTTTCTTCTGTTCTGCGGCCTGAACTCCTTCCTCCGTCTGAAGGGAAAAGATCAAGCATCCATCAGGAAGTCAACGCTGTGTGATGGCGTGTCAGCCTCCCTCACTTCACCCGTGGATTTCTCACCAGTAAGCATTTATAATAAATATGTAGGACCGGATCCGGGCGTGAAGTTACACGGGTTGAGATGTTTCTCAGTTGGCAGTGGAACTAATCAATCTGTGCATGCAGATTTTCAGCACTTTTTTTTTTTTTTTTTTTTTTTTGCCTAAGCTTTGTATTATGTTGCTGCTAAATGGAGTCTGACTTTATCTTTGATTTGAAAATAAGCTTCCTGTTAGATGTTTTTTTTTATTTCTGAATGTGACTGTCTGTTCAGCTTATCCTGCCACCCCCAACAGATCCACCAAAACCCACATGCAGTGCTTTGAAAAACTATTTATACCCTTTGAACTATTTCACATTTTGTCATGTTAGGAAGATGAGAAAACATTTGTATCCCACGTATGTTTGTTCATCCTACTGAGGAAAAAAAAACAAAAAAAAAACACTTGAAGCTTAGTCTCACCAGATGATGATCATCACTAATCAAATCCTGCTGTAGACCCTCAAAAGGATTTCAATCTGAACTTTGACTGGGCCATTTTAACACACAAACAGGCTTTTATGTAAACCATTTCATTGCAACTCTGGCTAAATGTCAAGAGCCCGTTGAGCACGTCCTGACGGACGTTTCGGATGTCAATAAAAAAAAAAACGTGGAGCCTTCTGCCAGAGAAGATAAACACCTCCTAACATAAACTAGAACTTTGTGTGTGATATACCTTCAGCAAGCTGTTGGAAGCAACATTAAAGTAGCAACATGTGGCTGCAGAAAGCAACTGGATGTCAGATCAGAGCAGAAGTCTCCGTGTCCTACATAAAAGGAGCCAAAAGGGAAAGTAAACTTTCCTGGGAGCCTTTCAGTGGTGATGGAGCAGAGCTGAGGCAGAGCAGCTGCAGCCAGACTGTGCTGATTTGCATTCCCACACGTTAAATGAGGTAACGCTGGCGAGTCATTCAACATCTGAGCCATTTTAAGCCATAAAGGATCATTTCTTGTAAAAGAAAAAAAAAAACAGCAACTTTGATAAATGGAGACCTGCTAAATAACCCCAACACTTTGAGTGCAAACATATTTAAACATGCCATTAACCAAGCACTCCTGTTGCAACATTCCTGAAAGGATTTCACATTTTTATATCCATGACAGAAGCATTAGCATTTTATTTTCTCAACCTATTTTGTGGAGATGGTTACATTGCCTATTA